CGGTAGTGGTTTGCCCAACGAAGAGGGCTATGCCAGTGCAGGGTAGCTTGTGGTATTGGAGCTGGTTGGTCATTGATAACAGCCGAGTCATACGAGCCACTCCTTCAGAATCTTACGTTTTCTTGGCCCGAAATCTAGTGATCAGAGGAGGTCTTCAGGATAGCCCTATCGATACCCTATCGATACCCCTCTGTATAGGCCCAACTTGTCATGTGATGCCAAGACCAGTTTGACCCCTGTCGATACCCTACGAATACTCTTTTTTTCTACAGCGATGGGGAAGACGCCGAAAGCAATGGCTGGCATGCGGCTGCTGTTGAAGGAAGCTTTACAGGATGATGTGGAAGGTCCGGTCCTAGTAGCCCGTGCTCGGGAAGCCGTGCCTGGAGAAGCCAAACGGCCGCGAGGGAAAGCTGCAGCAGCAGCAGTGGACGGGCGTGGGCTCAATGCAGCTCAGCGACTTTGGCTGGAGGGTTACGCGTGGAAAGTAAAATGGACAACCCTCAGCAAGGCCCAGCGGACTGAGCTCATCGAGCGGGCAGCTGCGCAATCTCAGGCCAGTGCGAAGCCAAAAGCCAAAGCAGCCTCGACCAACGCGCGCCAGAAAGTGATCAAGTCGCCAAAGTTCAAGAAACAGCCGGCAGGCAGAGTGCAGAGATGGCGAAGAAGAAAGTCTCTGCAAAGCTGCTTAGACAGGTGTGTCACCAGTGAGGATGCTGCTACTGATGTCACACATGTGCTGCAGCAGCTATCACAGAGGTGGCCAGACATACTGCCTGCAGTGTCCAAACGCATCGGAGGTGCTGGCTCGCTCGTGTCTGGTGAATCAAGTGGGTCATTGACTTCCATCTCGTCTTTTCTTCTGGGTCGCCTGTCAAAATGCCCCGGGTTTGCTTCGCCAAACCCACCGGATGCAGTGCGCTTGGTTAGGGAGCATGTGGATGTGATGGTGCGTGAATTTTGTGGCACTCAAGCCCGCGCAGCTGAATTCGGCTTTAGCATGGGGCGGATCCGCTGGAAACGTGCCGGAGAGCAGAACCGAGAGCCCGCTCTCAGGAAGCGAGGAAGACCTGACAAGAAGAACAACCCACAGCTCATAGAGATGGTGGAGCAAGCTTTGTCAGCAGCCTCACAGCCTAGCAGCCGTTTGTCGTGGGACCCGCAGGACCAGGAGTGGAAGATCGTGAGCACTTTGAAGCAGGACAAGAAAAGCATCTGGCAGCAAGGTTCCGAGATACGAGCATCTTTGGGTTTGTCCACGTTCTGGCGTCTAGCAAAGAAGCATTTGAGACATTTCAAAGAAGCGGATAGCATCAATGACTATTGCATCTATTGCTACGATCTCAAGAAGAAAGTACTTCCCCAGGCAGCGTGCCCAAACCATGCATGCCTGCGTAACTAATATAGAGTATGGAGTAGCCTGGAGTAGCCACTTCTCTCACGAAGCCTTCTGTGTTGCTTTGTTTTTGTCGCTTAACTGAAAGTAGTCAGATTTGGAAGACCTGCCCCTCAGGTGAAAGATTTGCTTGCCACTGTGCATTCCGAACTCCCGGCCATCATGCCGAACTATTTTGCCAAATGGGATGCGTTTGAGGGCCATGACTCTTTGCTTGAGAAGCCAGGCCTGCATTTGCGGCAGCTGCGGCATTTTGTGGAGCATCATTCTGCTCAGGAGGCATGTCGGCGACACAGGCACACCTCCTGGCCATGTGGCTTGGGCTGCTTGCGGAACAGGCGCAGCGGCTTCCCGCAGCGCAATCGTGTAACCCTTTTCGCAAAGGAGGCGGACATGTGTGTGCAACTGGAAGCAATGTCAAAACTCTTGGACAGCTACCTCTTCCATCGTTCTGCCAATGAGTTTCAAAAGCCAGTGCTGACAAACCTGTTGGTGGAGCCTCCTGCAGGTACCGTGGTTGTCCTGTCAGACTTCAAAGAACTCTTCACATTGCCAGTCCGCAGCACACAGACTGGAGAAGAGTTCTTCGCAAACGCACGGATGGAAATCTCAATTTTTGGATCTGTCGTAAGTGAAAGAAGAAGAGATGGCACTGTGGAGTGGACCCGGGTTCTGATCCTATCAGACATTTTGGATCACACCTCTTGTCGGGCATCTCAGTGCATCGACCAGGCACTGAGACAACGCAGGGGAACAAACCCGGTGGACACCATTCATCTTCTTTCGGATGCCGGGCCGCACTTTAGATCCTACGAAGCACTGCACCACTATTGCTGCGTCCTGCCAGTGCAGCACCAAGCTCGAGTATGTGTCCACTACGGTGTGGAAAAACATTTCAAGAGCGAGGCAGACAGATTATTTGCCATCTTTGAGCGCTATGTGAAAGATGCCCGCAAGCAAGGCACTGACCTGGTTGAGATTGCCGACTTGTGCAAGTTTCTTGCAGGCAAAAACCAGGCGGCACGCAGCGCAGACGCTACTGCCCCGTTGTTGGTGATCATCAATGATGTCGGTTCCCAGAAAAAGCCGGCGAACGAAAGATATCGCCTGCAGGCGAAAAAATTTCACATTACTCGAACATATTGTCTTTCCAGTGCTCCAGTGGCTCAAGGTCCCAGCAGGCTGGGCGTCAAGGTGTTCAACCATGTCTTCTCCAACATGGTTGCAGCCACCAATCTCACCAGTGATTTGGAACTCCTGCCCAGCAAGGATTCTGCCCCTGCATACCGCCGAGGCTTTTGGTCTGAAACTGGGCGAGAGCGGTGGGACCATGATGTTAGGCCCCTGGGTCTTCACGAGGAGACTACCTTGACCAGGAGGCAGAGCGACCAGAGCCACCTACTTCCAGATGGGGCAAACTTGCGCTTCACAGGGGTGCCAGATGCCCATTGCTTGATTGAGAAAAGAAAGCAATGGGCAGAGAAGCAAAAGCAAAGGGCTGTAGCACAAAAAAAGGCTGCAATGAACCCTGGCTCAGAAAGTTCGGACTCGTCATCTGGCAGCGACAGCTCCAGTTCTAGCACTTCATCTTCTCAGAACTGAAAATGTGTGTGCAGCTCGGAGGAGGCAGGTGTGGGTCACCTCCATGTTGGGCTTCCTGGATCGGATATATCCTGTTGCTAGCAGTCGCGTTGTGGATTTGGGGGGCTCTCAATGCATGTTAACCAAGGCTGTGCAGATTCCAGTTCTTATTTACATGCAATGTGAGAGGCAAATCCTCCTGGCACCGCTTGTCACTGTGTTTTTTACCCCTACCCTAGACCTGGCAGGTTGGTCCATGTGCATGTGTGTGTGCTGCTGTTCGCAAGAGGGGGGTCAAAAGCATGGAAAACGATAGGGTACTCATGTTCATACTTGCAAAACCCAAAACCATGGAAAACGATAGGGGACTGACAAAAGTGAAACGAAAACACTCCAAGGTTGGAGGCCATTGCTATTAGGATCTATTAGGTTCCTTTTGTTATTGGGTTGGTGGCCATTGCTATTTGTTTTAAGAAGTGGCCGAAGGCATTTTTTGGCTCGTCCAAGGCAGGAGCTGGCGGCTGCCTTGGCCAACCCCATGGCCAAACCTCCACGCTTCGGGGAGCCTGGTGCCTGGGTTCGAATTCAATAAAGAACGATACTGGGATCTCAATTGAATTTTGAGAAGACACCATAAGACATCAACATGTTTAATGATGTTCAACGCTCCGTGTCTCCTACAGTAGGAGACATCCTTTATTAATATTGCTATCATGAATGCAGTTTATATGTCCTAAAGTTCTAAAGGCTTTTGATGGTGAGGGTGTTGACCAACACTAAGCGAAGGTGGGTTGTATCGTTGGGACAATCCGATACGGCAGCCTCGTAAGCGGTAAGTGTTTGCAGATCTACAGACATTGTTGTTTATCGGCTTTACCACTAGGAACAAGAAGCTACTAGGGGCTCCTGGCCGTACTACTAGGAGCAAGGACGCTACTAGGGGCTCCTGGCCTCGCTACTAGGAACAAGGACGCTACATTGTTGTTTATTTATCGGCTTTACCCTGCTATATTCCAAGAGGAGCAGGGATTGACCCAACCCTTCGTATCCCTTAGTCAAGTCGGGCTGTTGGTGCGGCTGTTGGATCCCTTTCGGGGATTACATGGCCCCTGCACAAGGATAACACACACACACACAAATCTCGCATCAAAGAACGCGATTGTTCCAGGGAATCCCAAAAGAACATCAAAAGATGTCAAAGGGAACCTTTGCCATGTTACTCCAAGAAAAAAGGGTAGCGGTTGTCCGAAAAATGTACTTCAGTGTGACCAGAAATGCCGTTTGTTCACTGTGAACCTTGTTGCTACAACTGTGAACATTTTGTCAAATGCCCACTGAGACTGGGAGTGGTTCTGCGTTGGAGGCCATCGCTTCTAGGTTGGAGGCCATTGCTATTGGGTTCCTTTTGCTATTATATAGGTTTGAGGCCATTGCTATTTGGTTCTGCGAAGACCGGTCTTCGAGGATTTGATGAGTCTCCTGCAGCAGCTTGGTGTTGGCGTTTCTACGCCGAGCTTTGGCAAGGTTCAGTGTCGTGCCCCCGAATAGATAGACGTTCAAGGCGGTTTTGCCGGCATTTCTATTTAATTTGACAGTTCAGTGCCCCAAAAACTCCATCCAACCTGGGCACCGGACCACTCTAAGTACTAAGGACTGGCAGCCCCGCCTCTTCAGCGAAGAATGGATGGGGACTGGGTTTGGAGTTTGCGATTTGATTCCTCATTTCCACAATATAGCAGCCCATGTGTTTGACATTGGTTGTCCTATGTGTTTGACAGCTTTGAGATCGTAACACCTGTGGAACGATATGATCAGGAGTGCCATGAGCGATGTTGGGGACGGACACAATGTGAAAGTCCCGAATATTTTGGGCACAACGTCTCTTGGATGTTCATGTTGAAGCCTCAGATGTGAATCGAATGGGTAGCATTGGCCGGCCATAGCTGTTACTGTAGAGTCTAAGGATGTGAGACGTATGTCTCGCATGTTCAAAGACATGTTTTGGTTTGGGAAGGCTGAGACCATCGGGCAAGGCAAAGAGAATAAAGAAGCACAAATCGGGACATTAATGTTCGATTTGGTGGTGGGTAGCTTCTTGCAGAACTTGCGCCAGTCGTTGTTGCGGGCAGAAAGCATGAGACCCAGGTGTCCACTCAGACAGCCATGTTCGGAAACAGTCTGAAACTTCCATGCAACTTGTGTCAATATTCGGTCCTAGGTAGGCATGCAGTTTGTTTCGGCCAGCCTTATTTTGAGGTACCCTGATGTTGTCCCACAAGCTCTGAAATTGCTGGCAGCTATGTTTGGTGCTGGGCATACGATGAGCGACGATTTTTGCGCCGAGAAGGCCTCGTAGCCAGACATGTCACATCGGACTGTTTGGAAACTGCGAAACGGATGCATCGGTTGGAACAAATGCCCACAGGAGCAGGAAACGGTCATCACCAAGGACAACATGCAGGCTGTTGGTGCTGAAAGCTCCCTCTTGGAGCAAGGTGTGGGGGAAGAATAAGCAACTGTAGTCAATCTTGTTGAATTCAGCTGCTTTGCCAATTTCTGACATCAGAGGCCTTAAGTGCCAAATATGGCTTTGCTTCTTGAATGAGGTTTTTCTCTTGGAACAGTTTGGAGTACCCCAGGCACAGCTCATTTTGAGCTATCCTGACAGACTATCACATAGGTCATAGGTCCATCTTTTGACTCGGAATGTGACTCCACCGCCGTTGAAAGGTTGGTTTTCACTTTGAACTGTCGGCAGAGGGTGAACGATGTTCAAGTCTTTCTTCATGTTCTGTTCAACAGTGTCAAGAAGCGACTCTTAGAGGTGCCGGCTGGCTCCACTGGACATTGCCTGACAGCGATGATCCTATGATCATATCCCTGCGGCAAAAGCTGATTAAGGCAGGTGGCTGGTTTGACCTCGCTCGGCAACAAGAAAGCTGCACTAGATGAGATGGCACGTTGCCTTGATTGGCTTTGTAACTACAATTTGAATGGAGCTATTACATATTGTTTAATTGAAGGCTGAAGGGCCACAGTGTTGGGCCACAGTGTTTGCGATCCAACAGCTTCAAGATCACGGATGCAGTGCCATAACCCACAGAGCATCACATGTGGCTCTTTGCCGTTTTCAGGTCTACCAGAATGTCACTCACAGGACACCCTCGGAGGCGACATGGGAAACACTGAGAACAAACAGCGAGAGCAGAAGAGGGCATGCTGTTTCTTCAATATAAAAGTACTGTACACTTTAAGAACCTGTAGGTTCTGTATGTCGAATTGGCATCTATATAGTTGACATAATAATCGGTTTATTTATATAAGGTGTACAGCGTCAAGTCATGTGTTGTAGACCTGTGGACTGAATCGTGGGTGCATGCGATTTGTCTAAACGCCTGTGGCAAGCTTGTGCGTGTTTAGTCTACTCACCGAACAAAGGACCCACCTCCGCTGTAGCGTTCCCAAGCCTTCGCCCAGGCGGCCTGGGCACACCAGCTCTTAAAGGAAGTCCGAGCGGCGAGCGTCTTGGCCTAGAGTCGACCTGTCTTGGAACCCCAAAAGCGTAGCCATAAGGTCAGGGAAGGCTTGCACTCATTGTTATATTGTCTTGTTTGTTTAGATGAAATTAGACGTATAGTATTCAGTACTCTCAAGTGCAAGTCCAGTTGTGTAGTGTCCATCGGTTCTCATTCAAACCAAAAAGGCCAAGAAGAAAGTACAGAGGGAGAGAGCGTTGAGGAGACAAGATGTGGTGGCTCCTTCTGGAAGGACTTGTTTCAGGGAAATCGCTTGCTAGAGGTCTTAGAGTAATTACCTGAAAAGCTGAAAGAAGTCTGGTGAAATGGAATCCTGCAAAATTTCATAGCCCTACATGCTTGTAACATCTTGTAACTATACTCGAAATTTAAGCCACGTGACCCAGGGACCCACTGACATCAAACAGAAGGAAGTGACAAGGCTCAGAAATCGAAGAACGAGACAACGTCTGCCAAAGGGCCGACCGTTTTGAAATGCTGTTGAACACTGAGAAGAACACCAAACACAAGTTTGTTCCAAAACGTTCCAAAAGGGCTCAGAAAAATGGCCCCAAAGGTCGACCACAAAGTTTGGGACTGTGTGAGGAGTCTTCCTCCGCGGAGGACGCCCTAAAAAGGCAAGGCCTTGACCAGTTCAAACGGGGAGCACTTCCTGTGAAAAGAGCACTTCTTCGGCGTTCGGCCGGTGTCCACCAGTGATGTTCCTTTAGGTCGTTTGAGATGTGGAGAACTCTGTCCATGGTTTTAGGATCCAATCTCGTTTGTTTGGACCGTTGGTCGCAGCCCAAACAAGACCAAAACGGAGGCTGAGATTTCCCTCACCAGCCTGTCAGATGTCTGTTGAGCTCTTTTGAGTGTAAATTCGCAAACTGTCCAACTGCCTCGACCATGCAGCTACAAGGCATGACTTCATTTCAGCAGCAGTCCGCGGGTGGATTCTATTGGCCACTGCCAGTCTTGGAGCTGCAAGACAGTTCAGGTGAAGAGACCCCACCAAACTTGCTGTTGAAATCGCCGTCGTGAGGGTCTACTTGGGTTTACGGATAAGTGAGGAATCATTGCGAAGATGTGGGAAGCTGTTTTCAAAGTTGCTTGTAGTGTTGGTTAGTTGATTTGGGCTGGACTTTTCTCATTAGAACCATTTCCAGTCAGACGAGAGTTTTGTTTCGACTGATCAAATTTGCTGTACATCTGAGGATGCCTTCCATCCCAGCCAAAAAGCTTCACCCGGTCGAAAGAAGTTCTTCAGGCGCGCTGAAGAGAGTCAAGGCCACCTGATGTGTCCCTGGCATTCCACTCAGATTGGCACAGATGAGTTGTAGAAGCCTTTCAGCCCAAGCTCTGGAGTCCCCTTCAATCTTTCCTCTTCATATTGTTGCTTCCCATCCTTTCAGAAGTTGGACCTTTCTGGTGCATCCATTCTGGGCCCTGGAAGCCCATGTGCGAAGTCATGCGCAGGGGCAAAGGCTCGGCAGCAGTGGATTTTGGCGGCGATGTGAAGTTAAATCCAGAGGAGACTTACCAACGGATGGTGAGGTCTTAGAGGGTCTTAGAGGATGGTGACCTTTTGAAGGATGCTGGACCTTGATGGACCCGATGTCGGCCCGATGTGAAAATATCGTAAATGGACTTGCCCAGAAGGGTAGTTCCCCTTCCAGGGCCTAGAATGGGTGAAGTCGCAGAATGGTTTAAATCATCACTATGCCTTCACATCCTTCACAGGGATGCTGCATGCAATGGTGATGTTGCAGACCTATTTAAGGGATTGCTTAGTCTTTCATAGTCTTTCTATATGTTCCTTGATTTCGGTCTATTTCATTAAACAAAGAGATACTGGTGAGCTGCTGGTCGCGTTGGGTCCTCCAGGAACTTTTGCAGACGGACGGACCTGACATGAGCATCATGGCCTCGGGGCTCGGGAAGCAGGTGCGGGTTGGGCAGCGGGTTGGCGAAGAAAGCCGAAGAAAAGGGCGCGGTTTGGGCATCGCGGCGGTAGAGCAGGGAGGGGTTGGGGCACCAGAATCAGGAAGATTGAGAGCTTCGCCAGGGATGGTTTTGATATCACGGGTCTCATTTCTTGCTGCACATGCCTGCGTAGATGAGCATCGGAGATCAATCCATGTCGGGCTTCTCATAAGCAAATGCAAGTTTGTTGGACGGTGTACCATTGCCGTTGAAGGTGAAAGATGTGAACGTGTATTTGAAGGTACTGGTAGGACCTATGTGATTGAACTGATTGTTGGTGTGACAAAAATGTTAAATGGTGCTAGCCTCAAAATGTTTCAAGTGCCCATCGACAGCCCAACTGATGAGCCTTGTTCATCGCAATATATTACTGTATAATATGTGTTTTTGCTGGTTGGTTGATTCATAAAGGGCACCGGCATTTTCGACCATGAATCTGATTCAGCGGCACCCTCATCGGTCGCCCTTCGGCTTGGCCTCTTGGGCCGCAGGCCATTTGCACCTTCAAGTCGCTGATGATAGCTGCCATGAAGATGTGTGCGTTTTGCTACATCTTGGTGACCACGACCGTGAGCATGTGCCTTGTCATTTCTCGATTCACATGTCCACGGCATGTGCAACATGGATGTGGGCCCCCTGAGCTTTCTTTGGGGACATGGCATTGGCATATGGTGCTGGGTTTTGTTGGATTTGTTTCAATGGGCTCTTCGCCAAAAAAGAATGGCCAGACCAATTCAAGATCATCAGGAAGAACTTGGTGGACACCGTGCAGTTTGCTTCAGTTCGCTGTTGCTGCAGACTGATGCACACTTGTATCAGCCTTTACCTTGCTTTCTTAATCTTCTTCGCGGCAGCCACCGAGGTATTGCGCCGTGAGCTACAGCTTGGGCTTGGCTTCGCTCATTATTGGTGTGATTGACGGTCTAGGTGCGGTTCTGAAGCGACTCACCACAGATCCTGGGGCAAACATGTCGTAAAGTTCCGGTGTTCGCGACCGATGTTCGCACAGATTCAACACTATTCAACCGGCTTTGTATAGAGGTTCCTTTCTTCAATCTTCGCTACGCTGCTGTCGGATCTACAAAATGGTTGTTCCATTTGGCCTTTGCCACCTCAACATTTCACAATTCTTGCCCTGTTCAGGTGCCGGGGTGGCAAATGTCAAGGCAATCTTGTACCGATCCTGTCCTTCAACTCAAGGTGTTGCGTGTTTGGTGGGACTGGGAACCCCCATCTTGGATAAGTAGACTGCGCATGATTGCACAAGGTTTCCTGTAGTTTGTTTGTTGCTGTTGCTTTGTGGTGTGTGTTTATCTCCTTTTGTGTGTGTGTGTCACCCCCTGTACCAAAGGGTCCAATGCCACCGTTTCCATTACCACCACTTAACAAGGCAGGGGGACAGAGCTCTCTGATGCTACTCTGTCCAACGAAGCTATGCATCAGAGAGGGAAGCATCCACTGGCCATGGATGTGTACCTGCTGAACGATTTCAAGCTGTGACTCCACTCTTCACGTTTTGATTCATGGTCCTTCATGATACTTCCCCCAAACCGTTCTTCTTCCAGCCTTTTCAGCAGCCGCGCGTTTTGCAACATGTCATTGTGAGCAAACCTTTTGTTGAAACACCTTCAACTCATCGGACCTTTCACCGTGCCGTTCCATCACCATTTTTCCTGGAAATTGAGTTAACTGAAAACCAATGTCAGAGTGTGAGCCGCTCAGTCTTCCCACTTGGGTGCTGGTGTGAACCCCTTCATTGGGGCGCTGAAGCCATTCGGGCAAGCATCGTTTCCATTTTTGATAACTGTTTCCACTTTCTCCACCTCTATAACTGAATTAACGGAGTTTCGAGCCGCCGGGCTATAAACGATGGACTCAATCTTTCTGCGAATCCACTTGCACTGTCACTGCAACATGCCGCTAAGTATTCACCAGTCCATGTCACTCTGCTAAGTATTCACAGGCCGGACGAATTAATCGTGCACCCCCTCCCTGCCCCTGGGCCTCCTCTGCTATCCCACCCGCTACTGAGCAACAGAAGGAAATCGCACTCAACACACTTGTGTGTTGGTGCCTTTCCTTCTGTTTCTCCTAGTCTATTGCTAGCTACCCGGGCGGTTTAAGACCAATGTCCCGCTCGCAAACTACTTTCGTTTAACTAAGTGGGCCTCGTAACTACACCTATCTTTCTTTCTTGCCCTCTTAGTCTGCTTTTGTTTTGTTTGCTTTGTGTGTCTTTCTGAGGCTTTTTTAGGTGACTAATAGTTTTTCGCTGTGCCAACAAATGGCGCTTTCTGTACAAATGTTCCCCGGGGAGTCAGGACGCTACTGGAGGCCCCTGGCCTCACTACTACTTTGCTAGGGGAGACCGCGCCGAATACGGCTCTGTGTGTGTGTGTGTCACCCCCTGTACCAAAGGGTCCAATGCCACCGTTTCCATTACCACCACTTAACAAGGCAGGGGGACAGAGCTCTCTGATGCTACTCTGTCCAACGAAGCTATGCATCAGAGAGGGAAGCATCCACTGGCCATGGATGTGTACCTGCTGAACGATTTCAAGCTGTGACTCCACTCTTCACGTTTTGATTCATGGTCCTTCATGATACTTCCCCCAAACCGTTCTTCTTCCAGCCTTTTCAGCAGCCGCGCGTTTTGCAACATGTCATTGTGAGCAAACCTTTTGTTGAAACACCTTCAACTCATCGGACCTTTCACCGTGCCGTTCCATCACCATTTTTCCTGGAAATTGAGTTAACTGAAAACCAATGTCAGAGTGTGTTTATTGCTTGGGTGTTTGTTTTGGGGGGAATCAAAGAACATTACTTATGTCTCAAAATACTGTCTGTAGACCGTTTTTTCAATTATTTCTATTTTGACAATATACGAGAATAATATATAATAGTAATTTACATATATTTACACTACAACTTGTTCCTCCACCAGTGTCCTTTTGACCCCATCTCCTTAATTGTTCTTGTGAGTACACAACGGATGGTTTTGATCATGTTCTTGGGTGTCTTGCAAATCACGATCACGAGACATGTCCTGAATCTAATCGAAGGCTGCTTGCAACCTAGGCTTGCCAGGTTACCTTCAATCCATCACAGCCTTCGTTACTTTGCCAGGCTCGCTTGGTGAAACAAAATTTGAGAAACGTTTTGGACCTTGAACTGAGCAATAAGTCGAAGAAGATGCTTTGTTTTGGTCACACACCCCACGATCCAGTAGGAGGCAGAATGGACAATTCACAATACCATGTTTGATGCTTGCACTCCTGCTGGATCGTTCTGTGAAAAAGAATGTGTAGGACGCATGACACTGACTTGTTCTACCAAAACATCAGTCGCATCGGTGCCACATTCAAGGCATCCTGTTCATCCTGGTCTTCTTCTCACAGATCGGTGGCAGTCCGTTGCTGTCGTTGGCAATGTGCTGTTTGGCTGTGTGGAGAGCATTGGACTTCTACATGGGCGAAATCGCCATTGACATCAAGAGCCCCAAAAAGTTGGAGAAAGCCGTGAAGAGGGAGCCTTGTCGGCATAGACCGCTTAGCCAGCTTAGCCCAGCCAGGAATGGGTGGAAAGAGGGTGTTCTCAACAAGAAAAGGATTGGCTTGAGAGATTCAGAAAAGGGCCCAACAAGAGTGAAGTCTACGTAACCACCATTGACGCTTCACAGAGATTCTTTTCGTATCGAAATCTGGAGCGTATCCAAAACGACTTAGGATTTAGGGCAGCCTGAATGCCAATTCTGACTAGCAGGAACTGAATACCCTAATCACCTGTAAACTGCTTTAAAGATATCAACATGATCAACGTCTTGATCCTGCTTGCTGGACACAGAACAGTTAAGTCAGCTCTACTGAGGATGAGGATGGACTCAGACTAGATATATTGGTTGGGGGTGTCCAATTACCTGTAACAGTCGGTGGAAAGGCCTTAACTAACCATCATCACCCACTGTTAAACAGGGAATAGGATGTACCCGTACCCAATATATTGGTTGTATCCCATTATATCCTGGCAACCAGATTCACGCTGAGTCATGGCATGGTCACTAGTCCCCTGCTCCAAGCAAGCCATGCCTTCTCAGACTGTCTTATAGAAGTTGTATTGTCCACAGTTTCCGCTGTGCGCCCAGATCGGCAAGCACAAGAGTCTTTGCTTGATGGCCGCAGCTGTGTGCTTTATCGCACATACGATGTGGCTGCTCTATTCGACCAGAGTGAACGTGAAGATGGACACAAGTGGAGCGAAGGACGCAATGGTAGCTTCTATTTGCACAGTCAAAGCTTTTGTTTTGTGACCAGTTACCCTCCTCAGAACTCCTGACTATTGCCTAGCTCAAACACGCCTAAGCTTGGCAAAATCCCATAAAAATATGTCGACACTTGGGATTGAGCCAAGCATGTTGAGGGAATGAGGGAGGAGCGTATCACTGAAAAGTTGCCCAAATCCCATTGCGTTGGCAGTTGAAGGCTTTATCAAGCGTCAGTGCTGGATCCTCTCCCAACCCAGCAGACCATCCCAGATCACATCAGACCACTGAAGGAAGCACATAGAAGCATGGTGTACCAAATGACAAATGCATTGGGCTCCTCTAGTTTGGTAGAGGGGCGAACCATAGTGAAGCCGGTGTGAAAGCGGTCATGTGGGCTTCCACAGGGATTCGACAGGGATCATAACCTGGCTTAGTAACCTTGGAGTCACCATCACAATGAGCCCAGTCGTTTGGGTTGAGAAATGATAGGCATCCATCAAATCCAATCAGACCCGAAAGGTTCCAATGTAAGGGATCTTTTAAAGGGCCACCTGAAGTTTCGACTGCTCATAATATGACCATATGACCCTAAGAAATCCTGGTCATGAGCTCTTACAGCCGCTGTTGTGATGTTGATCATTGTTGCTCCAATCTCATTTGAGTGAAGGATTACATACTATATATACTATGGCTAACTATGCTAAAGGCCTTTGGATCAGGTGGTAATTGCTTGCAGGTCCGATTGTATCTCGTATCCCCGCACACTATAAACATTATATATACATATAAACACATGTTATATATATCCAATTACATATACACATCCAACTGGGGCTTGTAACAATGTCAACAATTGACAATTTATTGAGAAGCACGCTGAAGTATGTTTAAATGGAAAAGGACAGACACAAGGCGCATGGTCCACAAAATCAGTTCATGTGGACCATGGCCACATACTGAGGTCAAGGGCTTGCAAGACCCATTCAAGCACCTTGCCTGTTTAGACTTTTGACACTTTTGGCCAAGTCTGAGCACGAATCAGCCGGGTCCTCCAAGAAGAATCCATAGTTTAAAGTGTAAAGGCTTAAAGACATTCAGCTTCAGAACTGATCGTCGTGAAGTTTAAAGGCTTAAAGTTTTAATCCATAGTGTTTCTTGGACGATCCACATGTTTGCAAAACCGATAGTGGCCGACCCCAAAAACGGATATCATGTTTGTGGAACACACGAATGCAAGAAGCAAGAGATGTTGATTATTTTGGACAGCGCACTGTGTAAAGAGCTTTGTGGGCCATTCAAAGTAGGAATGAGATTTGCGTCAAAATCGTCAATGAAGACGCCTTGTTCACTGTTCAAAGCAGCTTGAAACAAGCAACAGCAAAAGCTATGGCTGCCGCCGAGAGGGGTAGGAAATCCACACTCAGAACTCAGAATATCTCAGAATTGCCAAACGTGCAAGCCTTTCCTCCGCAAGGATCTCCAAAGATCTTGATGTGGAACGTTTGGAAGTGCAGCAACCATGCACAAACATAAACCTGGACCTGAGAAGTTTGGGCTGGAACCAGTTGGAATCAAGAACCTGCCAAAGTTGTAAGCTTACCACAATGATCAGTTTCTTAGGTGGTCGCAGTTGCCGTTGACATCCTTTGACCAGCACTTGGTTTGCTTCCACCTCTGAGGTTGCTGACTGCGATTACAAAGATGATTTATGTCCGTGTCTTCACCAACCTGGTCACGACCAATTGGATCATGGAAGCTGTCTTTGATGCTGCAGATGACAACTTGAAGGTGAAGAGTGAATCAGGCGAGTCAAAAGCAGGTCACAAGAGTGATTGAGTTTGAATATGCCGTGGGATGGTTTGCTGCATGATTGCTCACAATGTAATGTTTGAATGTAAAGAGCTGATCGAGACTTGAGGCAAACACGTCGAAGACTCTTGGGCGAAGCTGACGAAAGGAAAGCGGAAGAAGAAAAAGAAAAAGATGCATGCCTGCAAGCCAAGCGAGAGTTTGTTTCCACAAGACATTCCAGCATGCACAAAAGTGAAATTGTAAGAAGAAAATGAGAACCAAATCGAGCTTCCACAGGCTACAGCTTGGGTGAAATGCCCAACAGCGAACATGCGAACCATGAGATAGCATCCACATTTATTCGACAGCGGCTTCGATGTGTTTCCATGGTTTTCATGTTTTCAAGCACGTCTTCAGCAGCTTCGCCGCATATTGCTGACTGACCGGTGTTTGTTTTCTTCCAATAGTCATTTGTCGAGGAAAAGACGGATCAGTAATTTGCCCCGGTAGGAATGATTGTTGGCTTCCTGTCCGCACCGATTGTTTACATTCTGAACTCTGAGCGTGTGCCCCGGGGCCACGGATAGGTCAGAGCATGCATCCAACATGATCCGCCGTCCATGCTGCCCCTCCATTCAGGAAGCATGAGAGTGAAGAAGAGGAGGACGGGATATGACTTGGCATAAACGCTCTAAACACGTCACTGGGGCCAGCCAAAGAAGAGCTTCCTGTGCTTTGCGTCGTGCGGTGGTTTGCGTCGTGCAGGCTAGAGAGTGTTTGTTTGGCCCACTAGGTTCGGGGGCCTTTGAGTGTAGAAGTGGGATCGAGTAGGTCGAACACAGTAGGTAGGGGCAAGAACATCAAGTCCTTGCTTTGATTCTTGCTTTGATTTGCAGTTTGGTGCTGGTGCATACCAGCACCATTTGCAGGGCTACTACGATGAGGAAGGTTGGTACTATCCTCCACCTGGTGAAGAGATGATGGGAGAAGTGCCCGAAATGCCTCCTGCAACAGGAGAAGGCTCGCAAAGCATGGTACGCACGGCTGCAGGGCTTGTTCACAATTGCAAGGAAGGCAAGAACTAAATCAAACAGCACCCATTCACATTGGTGTCTCATGATCCCTCAAGTTTTTCGATTTCTGAAAATCTACAGAAATCCATTGGATTCTAGATTTTTGGGGTCGCATCAATTGTTGGTGTTGGCTTGCAATTGCTATACCAGAAAGGTCCCATGAAGCATTTGGAAGCCTGGCGCAATACCGTTTCTGTGCACTCCCAGACCTCGTTCGATGTTTGGACCTCGAAAGTACCCCAAAATAAACATCACATAACAACTTCTTATTCTTATTGCTTTGCCCATGCAAAACCTAGGTTGTAAGATTTACCTTAGGTATGTCAGTTACTTCAAAATCTTCGATGCCACAATATGCCTCCCATCCCCCATACATAGTAAGCGGCTAGTGGCTAGTTGATGCTCCTAGTAGCGATGCCCTTTGTTACTAGTAGCGTCCTTGCTCCTAGTAGCGGTGCCCTTTACACGCGGACGGCGCAGCAGACCTTTTCACAGTCCCGCTCTTAATCCAAAAGCACGGTATTCGGCTTTCAGGGTCTCACGTGGCCAAAAAGAAATAGAGACTTCGAAAGGAGCAAGAAAGCTTTTCAAAGCATCTCCAAACTTGAGGAAACAACTACGACCCAAAACCATTTCCAACAATTAAGATGCCAAATACAGCATTCACAAACAAACTCCTAAGAAATATATAGTTGAAGCTGTAACCCTTCCAAACACCAAGAAAGGACTCCAGAAGACAGAGACGCACCACTCCAAGAGGCAAACAAATTTAGATCCCCGTACAAAGGTGCATGTGGTGAGCCTCTCCTCACCCTGAACTTTTACATCCCTTTTTGGCTCATCACGTATCACCTCTACACTTCTCTGTTTTCTTTCTTCTTCTCTTTCGTTCATTTTCAACTTCAACTCAGGCTCCAGCCCAGCCACCAACCAGCATTAAAACAAGCATTGTGGAAAGCGTCATTGCTCCTAGTAACGATGCCCTTTGTCACTAGTAGCGTCCTTGCTCCCAGTAGCGATGCCCTTTGTTACTCTAGCAGCGTCCTTGCTCCTAGTAGCGATGCCCTTTGTTACTCTAGTAGCGTCCTTGCTCCTAGTAGCGATGCCCTTTGTTACTAGTAGCGTCCTTGCTCCCAGTAGCGATGCCCTTTGTTACTAGTAGCGTCCTTGCTCCTAGTAGCGATGCCCTTTGTTACTAGTAGCGTCCTTGCTGCTAGTACAAAGCCCTTTGTTACTTTAGCAGCGTCCTTTCTCCTAGTAGCAATGCCCTTTGTTACTAGTAGTGTCCTTGCTCCTACTAGCGATGCCCTTTGTTACTAGTAGCGTCCTTGCTCCTAGTAGCGAAGCCCTTTGTTACTCTAGCAGCGTCCTTGCTCCTAGTAGCGATGCCCTTTGTTACTCTAGTAGCGTCCTTGCTCCTAGTGGCGATGCCCTTTGTTACTAGTAGCGTCCTTGCTCCTAGTAGCGATGCCCTTTGTTACTAGTAGCGTCCT